CGATAGAAATTTATTTACGGGGAACGGCCCCAGCCCCGGCTGCTAATAGACGGTTGCGCCAGCGACCGCCTGTTTTCCCGCGGTAATAATTGAAAATCGTCCCGCGTGCCGTGGCGCGCGCGCCTCGGCATTGAAAAGGGCGCTCTCTCGCTCGTTCGCGATCGCGCGCCGATCACGATTCCGACGATCGAGTTGGTCTGGTTGGTCGGTTCGCTCGCTCGCTCGCTCGCTCGCTCGTTTGTTCGTTCGTTCGTTCGTTCGTTCGTTCGATCGCTATCTGCCGTCGCGATCTTCTCTTTACCAATTAGTCCCTACCGCAGCCGACAATTATGCGCTGCGCCTGAGACCCCGTTCGACGCGTTCGCAGACGTCGCAGGGTGAGGCAGATCCTACTACCGATCTCTCCCGTCACGATACGATCGATCGATTTACCGACGATCGATCGCCACACTGCGACGTATCGACTCTTCGCTCGCAGCTCTCCGCGCGGATCTCTGTGATCTCTGTGAAAATGCGCGTCTGGGGAAAGACGCGCGTCTGGGAAATCATTTTCTCGCGCTCTCAAATTTATTTCGCTACATATCCAGGGAGGAATATGAAACTTTTGTCAAACATCAGGTCGAGAACGGGAGATATTGCGTCCGCATTTTGGTGTCGAGCAGTCGAATGTTTCGAATGTCGCACTCGTTGACGAAAGTTTCGCGACTCCTTCATGAAGGAGAAACGTGTCGAAAAATAACGTACGACCAGCGGTTACTAATGTAAACGTAGACGTATGCGCGGTGATCTCGCAATCTCTGCCAATTTCCTTGTTATCGGAACATTGCTGCTTACTACCCCTTCATCCCGGAGATTCGCGGTTGCAGAATCGATTGATGTTTCGCCGATCGCGGGGAAGGGGCAGAGGGGGGGGGAAGGTCAATCGGACGGCTTCCTTGGAAGAAGGAGGAAGGTTCTGCCGCCTTCGAACGTCCGCGCGATCGAATAATGAATGCGGATCTTTAACCGCTTGACATATCGTCGACGGAGCGCGAAAGGAGAAGAATGCCTTTGTGAAGCACAAACGTGAAATGTCATCGTCGGCCTCGTTTCGGATCGGCGATAATTACGGTAATCCATTTTCGCGATGGGTTAACGAGCGAGCTCGGCCTTTTTCCGCGCGAATCGCGCGAGCGACCGCGCTCTCTGGGAAGAGTGTTTTCTCTTTTCTTTATTCGTTTTTTTTTTTTTTTTTTTTTTTTTTTTTTTTTTTTTTTATAAGTCATCGATATCCTCGGCCATGGAAGTCGTCGTCGTTACTTTCGATTTTCCGCGGGATTACAAAGACGCGAGTGTGTATGACCTTACACCAACAGCCGCGGCGCGCTCTCGCGGTTGCGTTCCATCTGTGATCGGTGTCCGCGCGTTCCTCACGGGGAGGGAAAATAAAGAGGCAGACGTCCTTAAGAATCATTTAGCGCACCTTCGTCCTTTCTCTGCGAGGGAAAGCTTGAGTGGGAAAATTAGCGACCGCATTAGTAGCGCGCACGCGCGCCGTTCGCGTCGCGTTTAATCCTCTGAGAAACACGTAATACGGACGGAACGATAGACATGCGCGCGCGAGCTTATTATGCGGCTTATTATGCGAATGACAATTGCACTCGGTCGGCATTTAAGTTGACATGGATTAAACGATTGGTAAACAAGTAAATATTGATCGACGAGGATCGCAGCACGGCCCGGCCGCGCCGCGCCGCGCCTGTGTCCCGTGGGCGATGCGATTCTCTCTTGATTAATAGATTAATCGATTAAGCGGTTAATTAAGCCGGCCATTCTCCATATCTGGCCGCTGCGCAGTATCGTTAATATTATTGAGAGCCGGTTAATGGCAAACGTGATATTACGCGCGATACCCGCCGAACGCCGAACGCCGAACGCCGAAACCGATACTCAGCCGTGCACGGGCCGTGAATAAGCTCGCCGTTACATGGTGCGGGTTCCGCAGCCGAAACACATCGTGTCGTAACTTCGGACGACAGACAGAGATATTTTCGGCGACAAAAGCGCGGCCAGCGGGATTAACGCTCGAGGGAACCTCGGCGAGTGTAAAGAGGCGGGGGGAGGGAATCAGTCTCGATCAGTCGACGAATTGTGCAAGTCTCAAATCGCGAAGCTCTCGCGACGTAGAATCTGCGCGCGTGCCTCGCGGGCGCGGATGGCGCGTGACGGGAAGAATGAAAGAAAAGGGAAGGGGAATGAAAAAAGAAATTGCACGTCGGGATCGTTGGTCCGCGACGCACCTGCACGAGTTCCCGCGCGGCATGTGAGGGTCGGCGCGACGACAGGAGGGGGGGAGGGGGGGGCAGGTGCGAACGACCTTCGCGACCATTTAGCCGCCCCTCATATGGCGGAATTTCCAAGTGTTTTGGTCGCGGCGACGCAGGTGCGGTGTCATTCCGGGCGGAAAGATATCGAGCTAACGGCACCGCGCGCGGACACGCATAACCGTATAATCGAGATTTCATGGTTGATTCGTGCTCATTAGCGGCGCGCTACCGGGCGCGCTGATTAAGCGCCCATTGCCATCGGCCGATTGGAAATCGTCGATCGCGGGCTCGGCCATCGGCCGACGTAGATGTGACTTTGATGCTTAGAATGTGCGGTGCGCTTCGTACATTATATTATCAGATATCGTCGTCATGGCCGCCGGTTGTCTATCGCAATGTTCCGCTATTAATCCCAACGTGTTGGGGACGCTTTGAGCGTGCGCGACGGGGGGAGTAAGTTTCGTTAATTGCTCTCGAGACGGAGATAGAATGGAAATTTTTCGGAAATCCACTTTCGCCCGCGTCGCAATTATAATCGAGCGGCGCGATTTATTTTCGCCCTGTGCTTGATTTGTTTTCCCGCGCGTGTATATATGTATCTTTTTTTCACCATCATCATTGTAACACCGATAGCAGGGAAATGTCTCGTTTATTTCCCGGGATAATTGTATCTGCGCGCGAGCGAAATGAAAGAGAAATTGCGGAAACGCAATAACGGCGATGACAATCGCCGAGCAATATCGATAAAGACAACGAAGGGGCGCGAGGAAAGAAAGGGAAGTCTGTGAAAAAAGCCGTCTCTCACCTGCGCGAGAGCGCGTCACATTGAGATTTTCGCCGCATTAGTCTCTCTCTCTCTCTCTCTCTCTCTCTCTCTCTCTCTCTGCCTCTGGCGAGAATGACTAACGCGAAAATTTTCACGCAATCCTTGCCGCAGCCGCAAGGCGCCATCGACGGCTTCTGGACTGACATTTAGGCATTGCTCAAACGAACATTTAACCACAAGAGTGGAGTTCTCTCTATCTTTATCATCGCCGCGATTCCTCGTCTCTCGCTCGCGCGAACGTGACGCTCGTTGCGAACGCAAACGGACGGTTGCTCAATTATCCCGCAATGGCGATCGGCGCGATGGAGCGTTTAAATTTCGCCGAAATCTAAGCTCGATATCTCCGGAGCGGCGTGTCAGCCACTGTGCGCAACTCTGTGAGCGGCCGAGCCGTCGTTCTTGCGCCGCGGATCTCGTTCGGCTGACTCGCGATATCGCCGGCCGATATCGCGTAATGGGCAGTGATAAATAGTAAATGCCGTGGGATAGCTCATCGAGATATTGTTCGCGCGCCGAGGAGCGTGTGTGACGAGCCCTGGCTCGTTAACGTTGCTAGACACACCGATGTGTGGCTGCTAATAACGGTGCATTGAGAGAGCTCTTCGAATCGCCGGATCAGTGGGAGAAAATGGCACACGCGCGCAGAGAAAAGATCCCACTCGAGATCCTTTTTCCCTCGCGAGACGTCATGACAATTTCATTTGCTCGATTGAAATCGAGCGATCCCAACGAGAGAGAAACGTGTCACAGCGTGTCACACCGCTATACAATTATCAATTATCACTCGCGCGAATGAGACCGACTGTGTCATTAATGACACGCTAATAATCGCATCGTCGACATTTATGCTCGAAACATAACACGATAGTTACATAGTTGGCCTCGTTCGGCCGTTTTAGCCTCTCGTCACTCTCGGACTATGTACCTCGCGTGGCTGGACCTCGTTGTAGCGCCTCGAGGTTCGCCTGATTGCAAAAATTCGTCGACAACGTGACTCTGACGTCGTCGTCGTCGTCGTCGTCGTCGCTCGTCGGTCCGCGATTTTTCCATCGCGGCACCTCTCTCGCGGCCTTTCCTCGAGACAGCCCTGAGGCACGTAAATTGCGCGCGCAGCTCGGTTTGAAATTCGTGGCGCGCCGCGGAGATCCTTGGGGGCTGCGTTCCTCTCTCGCCTTTCGTTCCACGTCCGTTCGTTCGTTGGGTTCGTTCGCTCTCGCCCGTTCGGCTCCGGTCGTGGAAGTCGATGCTAAGGTCGGAGTGTTGTCGCGCGAGAAGGGAGTGCCGGGCGTCTGTCTCGCCGCCCTCCCGGTCCTCCCAGTGATCCCGAATTTCCTCGTGACGGCACACGCGCTTCCCGCTCGTCGAGGATGACGCTGCCGAGGAGTCCGCTCGTTTTCTCGTCCGTCTCGAACGCTCGGCGTTGTTTGCGAGCGGTCGTCGCGCCGGGACCCTGATCGAATCGACCGAGGAGAAGCTCACAAAAATCAGAGCCCGCCCTTGGGAGAGCGTCGGCGGCCGCGCTCTGTGCCGCGACGACACACGGGGGTAGTAGCGGTTGCGTCGGGCTTGCGTTCTCAGTGGCAAGCGAGTGCACGAAGAGACTATCGATTGCCGAGTGCATTTAAACGGCTGCGCGTGGAATCGCTAATAAGCGTGTCTCTTTCTCTCCCCCCTTCTCTCTCTCTCTCTCTCCCTCCCTCCCTCTCTCTCTCTCCCTCTCTCTCTCTCGTTTTCTCTCTTTCTCTCTTCCCCTTTCGCTCTCCCCTTTCCTCTCTCTTTCTCCCTCTCCCTCTCTCTCTCTCTCGCCCTCCCTCCCTCTCTCTCTCTCTCTCTCTCTCTCTCTCTCTCTCTCTCTCTCTCTCTCTCTGCTTCGCAGAGAAGCGTTCGCTCGCGTTTCGCCCCACGATCGTACACGATTGTGTTACGTCTTGTCGTCGCGCGAGCGAAAGGAAACCTCCCGACTGCCGCGGTGAGTCGAGAAGTTCTCCTCCTCCTCCTCCTCCTCCTCCTGCTCGAGGATTGATCAATCGACGCGTCGTGGACTATACCCGCTCAGGCTATCTTCGGTCATTCGTCGAGAGCGAAGAATTGCGTATATCCTTGACACCATGGCGAGACGCACAAGAGGCCGGTAGCTCGCGGCTGGCAGGGATGTCCTCGTGACATGTTACCCCGTGACCTTGGCTGGCGCAACTACAACGTCCTCCGCGGAGAGGGTCGTCTTCCGGTGCGCGGATCTAGCGCGAACAACACGAGCGGCCGATCAGTGTCCTTCAACCCCCGTGAGATCGAGTATCGCCTACTGCCGTTGGTGCAAGTCAAACCTGACTTTGTGATCCCATATGTGCTCTGCTGGAGGGTGCCAGGCGCGGCTCACCGGATTCAGATTCACCCGTCGCTTGTTCAACGCCACCAGCAGCAACACCACTATCACCACCACCACCACCACCACCACCACCACCACCACCACCATCAGCAGCAGCAGCAGCAGCAGCAGCAGCAACAGCGGCAGCATCAACAACAACATCATTATCAACAGCACCATCAGCACCGACGACATTTTCAGGGAACGCCGCCAAGACGTCCTGTGCCGCCACCGCCTTCGACGGAACGTCGTCCTACGTACGGCGCGCAACGTGACATCCTTGCGGATTCTGGTATGGAAACAAGGTGAGTGCGCTCGAGTTCCGGGGAAGAGATCGAGCCACGGCGGATCGCGCGAGCAATTTCCGAACTTGCGGCTTTCATAGTACGGGCGTGTCGCTCGCTCGAGTTTCATAGTTTCGTTGCCTTACCTTACCCTTGGTGAGTTCCTTTCTTTAATCGTTTCAAGCTCCTTGAAATGGAATGGCCACTGTCGTGCTCGTGCCGCGCGATTACGCGCTAAAGTTTCAAGTATCGCCAAATTGCGGAATACGCGTCGTGCTTCTTTTTGGAAAAAAATACTGGCGTCTCATATACACACACACACACACACACATACACAACACGCACGCGCGCGCGCGTGCGTAAAAAGAATTGTATCAATCCATATGCATACATTTCGATTATTCACAGGACAAAATGTCGACTTTTTCATTGTGTTTTCACTATGTTAGCATTATGATCCTTTGACGGCAATATGAGCGTCTCTCTCTCTCTCTCCCCCCCTCTCTCTCTCTCTCTCTCTCTTTCCGCGATTTAATATCATCGAGTGTCATTAACTGTCTCAACTGTATTCTTCTGGAAGCAACGTATTTGTACATAATGCGTCTACACGCACGATACAATGGCTGCGTTCCGAAATTCACTGTCAGTACTGAAAATACATAGTTTGTGTCACGTATACCATAGAATTTCAGTGCTAGCAGTGAATATCGGAACGCAGCCATAGTGTGAAGAATAATGCGATCCTATGAGCAACAATGACAGGTGTCTCAACACGACGACGATACTTGGGTATTTCCCGACGACCGAGGTGCAGTTTCTCGCGCAAGTGCACATGAGATCAACGACTCTGGTCATAATAATAATAAACAACGACGTGGCGACCTTTTTTGGACACGCCACGCGACGCGCGACGCGGTTCATTGCCCCATCCGCGTGTCCGCTTCGCGGTGGGCGCACCCTCGTTCTTCGTGCGTGCGCGCGCGCGTCTGACAGCGAGATAGAAACATTTGGTCGTCACCTAGACGGCGGAAATCCGACACCGCGCCAGGTGTTGTTTCCACAATGGCCAAGTATATATTCGCTCGATTAGCATATCGTGCGCTCAACATTGCACATCGTGTGCGCACGCGCGCACTCTCGCGGCCATCGGTCGCGGTCATCGGATATTTATTATGCAATTGTATCACGTTCGGCAGTCGGCAATTGTTACCGATCGGGGAATTGACAAATCCAAGAACGGCACAAGTAAGAAACTCTTCTAAAGTCGCCGTCGCAGCTCGTCGCAAGTCGCGCGCGACTTGGAATTTGGTGACTTTGCGAGCCCGAAAACTGCAGAGCAGAGCAGAGCAGAGGGAACATATTCTCATAAGAGATATGTGCGACGCGATGATCTCATGCTGCGAGAGATCCATTCTTCCTTGTTTGGTGGAAAAAAAGCGGCAGGCGCCCGTCCGTTGTCGGGGGCAAAACAGCAGTAGCTTCTTTCGAGAGAGAGAGAGAGAGAGAGTCCGTGTTTCCACGACCTCCCGCTCGGTCGGTCTTCTTCCCCCTCGCTCGCCCTTTCGATCCCAACGGATTCTCCGGTAAAAATCTAGAATTACACACCGCCCCCGTACAAATAATATTTAGCTTTGTAACATATCCCGTTATCTCGTATAGGAGCATAAAGGGCCTGGCTAGAGGGCTAGACGGAGAACGCTCGTTGTACTTCTCTTTGAGCACGTTGCGTCTGTTAATGCGTGATAATTAAGCTGCCGTACACGGCGCTCCGGCGCGAGTTTTATGCTTTTAACACTGCGAAAAAAAATCTGCCTCTCTCCTCCTCCTCCCCCTCCCCTCTCGCTTTATCTCTCGACGAGGGAGAGAGAGAGAGAGAGAGAGAGAGAGAGAGAGAGAGAGAGAAAAAAGAGGGAGAGAGAGAGAGAGAGAGAGAGAGAGAGAGAGAGAGAGAGAGAGAGAGAGAGAGGGAGAGAGAGAGAGAGAGAGAGAGACAGACAGACGTAATTTTACATTCGACATTATTAACTCTGACACCCCCTGAAACCCCCTGTCGTCGCGACGCACGGCCTCGATTGGCCGGCGCGAGTGCACGAGGATCATTTGTCACGATGCAAATGTCTCTCCCATTCGGTCACGCCGGCGACATGTAACGCGAGATCGCGACCCGTCGAATCCCAGAAAGCGCTCTCGCGCGTGTCTTCCGTCCACGCCCCCTCCCTCTGTCCGCGTCTCCCTCGGGGTTCTTTCATAAGGCCGGAATAAAGCGCGGGATTTTGATGGCTGACCGCTTCACGGCGAGCCATTTCCGCCGGCTGAGCCGGCGCGGCGACTTCCCGCTCGCGCGTACAAACACAGTCGGCATCGCTTCGCGTCGATGCTCATGCTCGCGTTCGACTTGGAAAACGCGTGTAAAAGATACGATCGCGTGCGTGTGTCTCCCCGGGTGCTTCTTCGCGAAACCGGCCTCTCGCGGCTGAGCCGGCGCGAGCTTTCGCGCCAGACACACCGTCACTCGGCGTGAAATCCGCCCGCGATTCGCAACATTATATTACCGCTCGCGCGCGACTCTTCGATCTCTTCGTGTGTCACGCCACGAGCACACGAGCACACGAGGCGAGGAAATATTTATTGGCCGTGTGTGTTTTTCCCGAGCGCACGCTCCTGTATACCAGGCCATAGATTCGTTCCCAAGTGACACAAATTGTTCGCATCGACGTGGTGAAAAATGCAAAGAGCAAATGTCGTTCCGCAGCGGTCGACGAAAGAATGGTTATTCATTCATTAAACTTAATGTATTGTCACTGTACCGGGAATGAGCTATACATTGTACGACATCGACCGACTTTTCCCGGCTATTCATTTAATGCACGTATCGCGCGCGCGCGCGCGCAATGCTGTACAAGAGAGAAAGGAAAAAAATAAACAGTACAGAAAATATACTGTTTTTCCATTAACCCCGCGACAATATTTATGTGCGTGAAATTTAGAGACGCGGATGAAGAGGAGTGAGGGACGCGGAGAAGGAGGGGAACGAGAAAAAATGCTTCGACGTGAAATGCTTGTATATATGTACCTCGACTCCGTGATAGCACTCCGTGCTTTTAAAAATGAAGAAGAATCTATATCGATTTGATTTCGTCGGGAAACGAGAGAACTTGGCGAAACGAGGCGAACTTGTGTGTCTTTACTTTTCGCAGTTGAGGTTTCTTCTTCGCTCGTTAGAGCACCGGCGCGCAGTCTCGTTATACTTTCGCGTATCACCGTCCATTGTAAAGCCGCGAATTGCTTCGGGAATTGCTTATCTATCGGTTGCGACACCACCGAGCCAGTCACGTACAACGACTCGTAATTACGCTCTCTAATGAGAGCGATGTGTTTCCGGTCCGGTCGAGCGGCTGCAAATCCCTGACGCTGTTAATCCGCGGACAGCGAGATAGATAAACATAATTTATTCAAGACGTAGCTCTACGCTAGGCTGGGCTAAGGGAGAGAGCTGCCGTCGCGAGACCTCTCGCGAGATTTGTGAAAACCGCGGTCTCTGCTCGCGAAACGCCGCGACGTCGGTCAGCGCGAAGAATAGCCGTGAGGACTGTCGACGACCCGCCGCGGAATCCTCGGCCTAATCTCTCTCAGACACTCGGATGCATGTTCAGATGCGGAGCTGAGACGCGCGCTCTTGCCGAGAAAAATTCTGCGTATTCTCCAACGAGAGACACGAAAAGTGTGATTTACGTTACGGACAGAGCCGAGAAACATTGCGCGTGTGCTTCGCGCGTACATTACGAAATAACGAAATCGCATTTGCTCGCGAGCGAGCGTCGAATTTGGCGAGCGAATCATCACGCTTCATCACGTATCATCACAGCGCGGTGATAATCACACAGTCTTTTGTACGTACGATATCGTGAACGCGCAGACGAGTGTCGTCTGCGCCAGTATCAAAACGATCGGCGCGAACCGCCGATAAATCGTCTCCATCGTCGCGTAATTTCTCGCCCCTCGGAGCCTTTCTTCCCTGGCTTCCTTTTCGCAAGCCCGAAGCGCGCTGGGAGCGCCAATTTTTCCAGGGACGTCTGTCCTCTCGCACGCTCGCGAGAGGGGGTCGGTGGTCGCGTTGCTGAAATCGCGTTGCAACGAAAGCGACGGTGTCGCGTTATCGATTCTCTTCGCAGCCTTGTGTGTTACACACGGTGGCTTATATCTACGTAGTCGTTATCGCCCTCTTAAAGCGAGCGCGACGCTTTATCTGGATAAAATGGAGAACGATAAAGAGAGGGTGAGTACGTGAATCCGCGCGGGGATGAGAAGAGCGGCGGCGGGTCGCGCGTAGAATCACGGCGTAAAGAGGACAGATCCTACGATATTGTATCCCTTCGAGCAGAACGAGCTTCTCGGCTTGTCGCCGTTTTGACGGGCGAGTGTGTTGACCGCGACGAGAGGAAATATATGCTCGCGACCGCCGCGTAGTAGAAAACGACTCTACTACGCGCGGCGATTAATAACGGATCGTTATCGAGTTTTTTTTTCTTTTTTTTTCTTTTTCTTTTTTATCGCGAGTATCGCGTTTTCTCGGCGCAGCATGTAAGACGCGCCTACCGTACTGGCCGTACTTGTTACGTGCCTTCCGTTGATGTATAAATGTTCTAGTTTCGAAACGTGCGATCATCACAGGCCAAGAGAGCTGTCGCGGCGGACTGTCGCGATCGTTGAGCATTAATTAATACTCAAGCCGTCGTGGAATTTCCAAGCCTCGCGGAAACTCGCCATGCGCGAACCTTTGAGCAAACACGCCGATTACACGTTATATTATCCGGTAATTAGAAATTCATTAGAGACGCCGCAAGTACGTTGCCGCGATTCTAGGTGGAATCTTTTTTTTTCTTTCTCAAGTCTCGGGGCTTCGAAACTGCGAAACGACGCGATAATTTTTCCCTGCCTTACCTGCTCGCTCGTTCGCGTTCTCTCGCGAGCGCGACGCGTGATTTATCGCGCAGAATCGAAGTTTACGGCGACGTAAACCCTCAG